CACACTGACACACACCTGACTGGACTGGAGACACTGCTGTCCCTCTCACAGGGGACACTCCCCCTGAATTCACACAGACACTGCAGCGACAATGGAAACCTTATATTTTTGACAAAAAAATAAGGGATGCAGCGTTGTTACAGGGTAGACTCGGGGTGTAGAGGGAGACCGAGGAAGTGGAAGAGAGCTATCAAGAGAGAAGCGTCTTACTGGGGTCATGGGGTCCGGGGGGCTGCCACTGCTGGTAGGTGTTGCCCCAGCCCTGTGGGGGGTACTGGTGTGGTGGAGGGGGACCCCCACTGGAAGAGAGAAGAACTGCCATCAGTACTGGAGGCTGTCAGGGTGTTGCCTGTGTCCCTGTGTCTGGGCAGGGAGGACTACTCACTGTGGTGGGCCTCCCGGAGGTCCCTGGTTGTAAGGGCTTGGGTTGTAGGGCCCCATTGGACCTGAGGGGCCAGGCCCACCAGGCCCTGGACCCACCGGACACAGTGGACCCTGAAAGAGAACCAGAATCAGACAGGTCCAGTCCAGCCGAGTCCTCAGAAGGAGGCACAACCGGGGAGCAGCTGTACCTCGATCTTCTCCTCGATCAGCTGCTTGGCGTGGTCGATCTGCTGGGGGGTGCCCCGGATGGTGAACAGCTTGAAGTTGGGGTCACCGTTGGGAGGGGGCTGGCGGGAGATCTCGACGAACGCCCCCGTCTGCTGGTTGATGGCCTTGACGTTCTCCCCACCTGGACAGGCAGACGGCCCAGCGGTCAGACAGGAACAGCAGTGCACGGAGGGCAGAGAGAGAGAGGACGACGACAGGGGCTGACCGGTGGGGCTCGTTACGCTCAGGCTGTCCGGGGACTGACCAGCAGGGCCGATTGTTTGGCCAGTGGCTGGGAACCAGCTACATCTCAGGTCAGGCAGGAACTACACACCGTGACAGGGTAACGGCTGGCAAAGTGTCATGCATCTCCAGGATCAGAGCCGATCAACCAGCTGTCTCCTGCCATTCATACAGCATTCTGGTCTGGACTCTCCACAACGTGCACCTGTGTCCAGCAAACGCTGGTCACGGCCCCTCAGCCTTCACTGACTGAGGACCGCTTTGTGAACACATCACCCCTGACTGGCCAAGAGGCCCAGCTAACACACCAACACAACCAAACCGCTAGGAGCTCTTAAGGGGGAACTGCAATGCTATCTTTACATTTCGGGATTAGAAAGAACTGCCATATAGGAGTGCATTTTAAACCACAATGAAAGTAGAATATTCCCTATATGTGGAAAATCTCAAATATTCATCAATAGACCAGGTATGGAAATTTCAACAAGCAGGCTTGTGAATAAATCTCTTTTAATCCAACAGAAATATTGCTGTTGACGTCGACACTGTTTTGCCAACAAATACCACTTACTTGTTGACTCTGCATGCAGATCCAGTACAAACATGCCTGTCATGAAGTGTCTGCTGCAGAGCCTTACTTATTCACTTATACTCGTACATCCTATTACATTAGTCGTTACAGTGACCAGCGAGCAGGAAGGGCTGCATCATGTCACAAGTCTCACAAACTCTCGCCTGTGTTGAGACCAGTAGTCTGTGACAACATGGCGACCATACAAAGTTTTCACAAAGTTCACGAATTTGTGCTCAATTCGTAATTTTAAAACTGTTGTTATACTGTCAATTAGTTTACTGAGATTTAATAACCTGTTTGAGGAATTGGCACTGCATTCCCCCTTTAATCCTGACAACCGCCAGCACAAACAGTGTTCGCTAATCAAGTAATGCTGTGTATCAAAGCAGATACAGGCGCAGGCTCACAGCCAGAGACAGTGGACAGCCCCTGGGCCCCACTGGCTGAGTGCCCATTATGTGGACAGACTGACCTCTGCCGATGACCAGGCCGCACTTGTGGCTGGGGATGGAGAAGGTGACCTCACCACCTGGGGGACCCCAGTTGCCTTGCCCCCGGCCACGCCCCCGACCCCCAGGGGGCATTCCCGGTCCGGGGGGACCCGGGGGGCCTGACTGAAGAAGAGAAGAGAGGAAATGAACTGTGGGAACAGTTC